ATAGAATAGAATAGAATAGAATAGAATAGAATAGAATAGAATAGAATCAACATTTTTTACTACCGCTTCTGTGGGCGTGGCTTGGTGAGTATGGCGTGGCTTGATGGGCGTGGCGGGGGAAGGATACTGCAAAATCTCAATTCCCTCCCCACCCCACTAACCTGCTTTCCAGCTCCGTTCTCCTGTGCAGGGCAACCAAAGAAGGCCCCAGCCGATCAGATGGGACTCAATGGGAGGCAGAGAATAAATGGGGTTGGTGGGGGCAGTCAGAGGTGGAATTGGCCGGTTCGCCCAACTACTCAAAATTTCCGCTACCGGTTCTAGAGAACCGGTCAGAACCGGCTGAATACCACCTCTGAATAGAATACAATATAATAATGGAATAACAATCAAATTGAATATAGAATATAGAATACAAATTAGAATAGAACAGAGCAGAACTTGATTGTCACTTTAAATGTACATTAATCAGCACGCATTGAAATGAAATTTCACTGCATTCAGCTCTCAAAGGATTACCATTTGTATATTATATAGACTATTTCTATACCTGTTCATAACCTCTGTCCTGTTTCTGCTTCACAGGTCCTTGCAGTCAGAGAGGAAGGTTCCAGAAGGTTGGTGTTTGTTAATTAATTATTTTATTAACGATGTATTTGGCTAACAAGGAAGAACCGTAAATGAACTCATTCCTCCTTAGCACTCACACTTTTTTACACGTGGTCCTTGACTTATGACCTCCGTTGAGCCCAAAATTTCTGTTGTTAAAGTGAGATATTGGTTAAACGAGTTTTGCCCGATTTTACCACAGTTGTTAAGTGGATCGCTGCAGTTGTTTAGTTACTAACCCGGTTGTTAAGTGAAGGTGGCTTCCCCAGACGCTGCAGACGTCATAACTATGTGTCAGCTACCAAGCATCCGGATTTTGATCATGTGACGTGGCTGGGGAATTCTGGGAGTGGAAATCCACTCCTCCGAAAGTTTCCAAGATTGAGAAACACCGTTCTAGGCAGACAAATCTCACTGCTTAGCTGCTCTGCCCATCTGGAAATTCTCCTTGAAAATCAGCCTGAAGCTTGTTTCCTTTCCCTTCAAACTATTCCCTTTGTTTGAGCTAGAATAGATGACCTTTGAGGTCCCTTCCAGCCTTGGGATTCTTTTTTTTTCGTAATAATTTTTTAATTGTTTATTACAACAAAAATATTATTGTGTGAACAGTATGGTTCCATTTTGTCTTATATTTTGATACAAATATGACAATATTCCTCTTGTTTAATATAGTTGACAATCTTTTAAAATTTGACATCGATGCATGTATTTTGTTAAATTAATCTTGATAATTCAACATTGCAATATGTTATTTTGGGGTCCATCTCTATATTCTTAATCTCACTCCTTTTACTACCAATTATATATTAATAATCATACTTGCAGTGTTCACCAGATTATATTGTCTCTTAACAATTCACCAATTTATATTAAATTATAGTTTTCCATTGTTCATCCCCTTTTTAATTTCTAAATATGCCACTATTATATTTTTTTAAAAAATCCCCCTTCCTAGTCACATTTTGATACAAATACAGTATTCATCATATTTACATTTAACAGGTTACGCAATTCTAATAATACTGTTGTTTTTGTTAAATTAGCCAGCCTTGGGATTCTGTGTTCTTCTGTGCACCCACAGCGTTAGCAGAGGACAGTTCCAGCATCTTCCATATTAAAACAAAACAAAACAGCAAAAACCCTGTAAATATTTGCAGTCTGCTTTGGTTCTCCTGTTAACCTTCCCCTTTGCAAAATGTCCTTGCCGTGTTCCTGATAACACTTGGTTTTCATTCTTCTTATCAGTCTGGAAACTCCCCTCTGGCCATTTGTCCCAAGGACAAATCCCCGGCCTGACACAATTCTGCAAGAACAGCCTGGTGCATATTTTTTTTCTTTTTCCTTTTTTTTATAGTCTTTATTAAATTTCAACCTCAAACATTAACATTCAAATTAAGCATAAAGGGAAAGGAAGTAACATACCCCACAACTAAAGGGACCCAAAAGTTATACATCAAAGAAATCTATCTATCTATCTATCTATCTATCTATCTATCTATCTATCTATCTATCTATCTATCTATCTATCTATCTCTTTCTCTATCATATCTATCTATCTATCATATCTACCTATCTACCTATCTACCTATCTATCTCTATCTATCTATCTATCTATCTATCTATCTATCTATCTATAAAAGCGAAAGACCCCTCACGCATCATCACAAAATCTCCAGAACCGTAAAGCCTACAAACTTGAAATTTGGCCCATATGTTCCTCTTGGCTTCTAGGTGCTCACTAAGAAAGGATTTTTCAAAATGATCCTCAGAGCATTTAGAGTATTCCCTATATTATTATTATTAACATGCTCTGATGCTAAGGAGTTCTACTCCCCCTCCCCACCTGAAAAGAAATCTGCTCCAAATGCAAAACACAAGCAGAGGAGAGGAGGTTCACTTTCACTTTCACAGCAGCAACCAGCTTTAGTACAGAACAGTTGAGCTAAGCCACGGCCAGGCTCCTTGCTGTCTCCTTGCTCACGCAGCAAATACACTTTCAGTTTCCAAACAGCCCTCAACTGTCACACACTGACAGGACCCTAGCCAGATGAATACCGACAGATGCTGGTAGGCAGAGGCAGAATTTTCCCCCCCCTTATTTTCCTCCCCAAAAACTAAGCCCGACCACATAGTTTCGTAGCGAAGCACGGGTATCGATCTAAATATCTACATCATTTGGCAACTTTAAGGACTCCAACTCCCAGAATTCCCCAGCCATCCATGGCTTTAAGAGGAGTAGGAAATTCTGGGAATTGAAGTCCACAAGTTTTAAAGTTGCCAGAGTTTGATACTCCTGACCTAGAAGGACAAAAGGTCTTTCTTCTTATTTATTTTTTGTTTAAATCAGTGCAAAGTTGCAAGGAGAGAAATCAGGAAAAAAAAAAAACTGTTTAAAAATCAGCCTCCTAAGTTGGGTGGTACCATCAGTTGGCTTTTCCGGTTGATGATATGATGATTTACATTTTCCAGTAATTTTCCAGTAGCGGCACGTCTCTCTGCTGGATTTCAGCCACAGGACAAAGTCTGCCTTCTCAGTGAGCCTTTGGGGCTGCCGGAGAAAAAATTGTTTTCCTTTTATCTCTTGGTTGCTTATTTTTCGACCTTGAGAGCCTTAGCCTTCAGTTGGGCTTAACTTCTGAGAAGGAGGAGATATATAAATTGGACAGTTTTCTTTTCATGCATATATACTTTTTGTTACAAAAATAAATTAAAAAGGACATAAAAATGAACACAAATTAATGAGAGAAAAAAAGAGAAAAAGAAAGAAAGAAAAAACAAGGAAAGAAGGATGGAAGAAGGAAATGAGAGAGAAGGAGGAAGGAAGGAGGGTGGATGGGAGGGAGGGAGGGAAGGAAGGAAGGAAGGAAAGGAAGGAGGGAGGAAGGAAGGAAGGAAGGAAGGAAGGACGGACTACCCCATTCTAGCCAGTTCATCAAAACTGGTGACACAGATGGATCTTGACAGACTTGAACCCTGGGCCGTATCTAAAAAAATGAAATTCATTATACAGAAAAGTAAAGTCCCAAACTTAGTCAAGAAAACCAAAAGTACACCTATAGACTGGGTGAAACCAGGCTCCATAGCAGTAGCTGTGAGGGGGATCTTGGAGTCTTAGTGGACAACCAGCTAAATAGGAGCCAGCCGTGTGCAGCAGCAGCCAAAAAAGCCAATGCAATCCTAAATTGCATTAACAGAGGGATACAATCGAGATCAAGGGAGGTACTAATATCACTCTATAAAGCCTTAGTAAGGCCACACCTAGAGTCCTGCATCCAGTTTTGGTCACCACACTATAAAAAAGAGGTTGAGACTCTGGAAAGAGGGCAGAGAAGAGCAACCAGGATGATGAGGGGACCGGGAGCTAAAACATACGATGAACGGTTGCAGGAACTGGGCCTGGCTAGTCTGGGGAAGAGAAGGACTAGGGGAGACAGGAGAGCATCTTCCAATACTTGAAGGGCTGCCACAGAGAGGAGGAGGGGGTCAAGTTATTCTCCAAAGCACCTGAAGGCCAGACAAGGAATAAAGGATGGAAACTGACCAAGGAGAGATTCAGCCTCGAAATAAGGAGGAATTTTCTGACAGTGAGAACAATCCACCGATGGAACAGAAGTTGCCTTCAGAAGTTGTGGGAGCTTCATCCCTGGAGGCTTTCAAGAAGAGACTGGACTGTCATCTGTCAGAAATGGTGTAGGGTCACCTGCTTGGGCGGGGGGTTGGACTAGATGACCTACAAGGTCCTTTCCAGTGCTGTTATTTATTTGTTTGTTTGTTTGTTTGTTTGTTTGTTTAGGTTAATTGCTTACAAGATAATAGGTATAAGTATAAACATAGTTATGAATACATGAAATGGATACATATAAGAAAAATAAAAGAATCAATAGGACAGGGACGGTAGGCACATCCGTGTGCTTATGCACGCCCCCTACAGACCTCTTAGGAAAGGGGTGAGGTCAATAGTAGACAGTCTAAGGTTAAAGTTTTTGGGGTTTGGGGAAGAAACCACAGAGTCAGGTAGAGTATTCCAGACATTGACCACTCTGTTTCTAAAGTTGTATTTCCTGCAATCAAGTTTGATGCAATTAACCTTGAGTTTGTATCTATTGTTTGCTCTTGTGTTATTATGGTTGAAGCTGAAGTATTCGTTGACAGATAAGTCATTGCAATGTATGATGTTATATACTATACTTAGATCGGACCGAAGGTGGCATAGTTCTAGGTTTTCTAGGTCTAGAATTTCGAGTCTGGTGGCATAAGGTATTCTACAACGAGTGGAGGAGTGGAGAACTCTTCTTGTGAAATATTTCTGGACTTTCTCAACTGTGTTAATATCAGATACGTAATGTGGGTTCCAGACTGATGAGCTGTATTCAAGTATTGGTCTAGCAAATGTTTTGTATGCTCTAGTTAGTAGTGTAATATTACCAGAGAAAAAGCTATCTAGGATTAGGTTAACAACTCTTAATGCCTTTTTGGCTATGTAGTTACAGTGGGCTCTAGCACTTAGGTCATTAGAGATGAGTACTCCAAGATCCTTGACAGAGTTTGGATTGTCAACAAGGTCTTGACTATTCAGCCTGTATTTTATTTTCTGATTTTTTTTGCCAATATATAGGACAGAGCATTTATTTGTTGAGATTTGAAGCTGCCATTTGTTTGACCATTCTGATACATAGTCAAGGTCTTTTTGAAGGGTAGCAGTATTGTCTGTGGTGTTGACTAGCTTTACATCATCAGCGAAGAGGACACAGTTGTTCTTAATATGACCACAGAGGTCATTTATGTAGAGTATGAAGAGAGTTGGTCCTAGAACACTGCCTTGGGGGACACCACTATTGACAGGTACAGAATTTGATAGGACGCTCCCAATTTTGACCATTTGTTTTCTGTTTGACAGGAATGCTTCTATCCAGTTATGCAGGTGTCCAGAAATACCATAAGATTTTAGTTTTAGGAGTAGTTTGTCGTGTACCACTGAATCAAAGGCTTTACAGAAGTCTATGTAGATTGCGTCTATTGCTTTGCCCTGATCGAGTTGTGTAGTCCAGGGGTCGCCAACCACCGGTCTGCGGACCGGTACCGGTCCGCGTAACAAGTCTTACCGGGCCGCTGGTTGCTGGGCGCCGCCATCTTTTTTTGATTAAAAAGTGCTTCCGGTGAGCTTTTCTGGGTAGAAAGCTCACCGGAAGCACTTTTTCATCAAAAAAGATGGCGGCGCCCAGTTGATGCCGGTACCGGGCCGCGACGCCCAGCTGATGCCGGTACTGGGCCGCGGCATAAAAAAGGTTGGGGATCACTGGTGTAGTCCATATGTTTTTGCAGTGTAAGAGTTGCAGATTACAGGATAGTTTTTTTCTGAAACCAAATTGTTTATTAGAGAGTAGGTTGTTTGTCTCTAAGTGGAGGATGATGGATTGGTTAATAATTGATTCCATGACTTTACAGGTGACGCAGCATAAAGAGATTGGTCTGTAATTTTCAACTAGGCTTGGGTCTCCCTTTTTGAAGATGGGGATGACCGTGGCTTGTGACCATAGTTTTGGCAAGGAGCTGGTCCTGAAAGATTTTTCAAAGATTATGCTTAGAAGTTCAGCTATGGCAGTGGATGGCTTTTTTAAGAAGTAGGCACATATTCCGTCCGGTTTGTTTTTCCGCCAGTGATTTCTTTTTGGATTGAAGCTTCCTTATTGTTGTGGGTAATTTGTTTTTTCTGGTTTTGGGAGTTGTTATTGGTACCTATAGTTTGGTGACTCTTTTGACTTCCAGTAAGAATATGTTGTAATGGTCTTCAACAATGTTGCATCCAGTGAATAGAAATTGCCAATCAAAGGATGAGAGATAATTGTTTATAAGATCATAGTTGCATTTTTTGAAGTTAAAATTGGGGATTCCGTCGTTGTGATGATTTTTGTGTGGACGTATGTTGAGACAAAAGTCAATCTAATTATTTATGTTCATCTGTAAAGAACAGAAGTTGCCTTCAGAAGTTGTGGGAGCTTCATCCCTGGAGGCTTTCAAGAAGAGACTGGACTGCCCTCTGTCAGAAATGGTGTAGGGTCTCCTGCTTGGGCGGGGGGTTGGACTAGATGACCTGCAAGGTCCCTTCCAACTCTGTTCATCTGTTCCGAATCGTTATGCATTTTGCAATCCCCACCCCTGTTATAAATCTAATCATCTGAAGGGAGTCACCTGGGGCCAGTTTCACGCCCAGGGCTTGCCCAGACTTGTTTTGGAAAAACAAGGCAAGAAGACAAAAGGCAGGTGTTGGATTTCACCCCGCTGGTTTGTGTTTCTCACACAGGTTGTCACTTCCTCGTCCTTGAGACCGTGAACGTTTTCCGGAAGTACATTTCCATCTGGGACGCTCCGCTCAGCTGCTACAAAAATCGGGATGTCCTCTTTATAGCGACGGAAAAAGAAGCAGAATTGGCCAAGGTACATTGGATGACGTCCTTGTTCCCATCCAGAAAGTCCCTAGCAATTGGTTTCCATACTCAGGATGTCAATTAAGGAGGATAAGTTAATCCTTGTGTCAGGGATCCGACAAACCACCCCCCATTCAAATCATAAGTCTCTAGCCGCATCTTTCAGAGTAAAAAAATAAATGATTTATTAGGAGTGACCATGTCGGCGTTACCTATGTGCAGCTGACTCTAAGACCCATCATTCATTTCCCCCTTGACTCTGGTCTTCTCCCCCACCCCCTTGGATGTATATTCTCCAATGGGACACATCCATAGCCAAGAGTCATCAATCATGCTCTCCAGTAATAATCTTGCAGGCCAACAGCTTCGGCTGCCTAGCTATTATCTGAAGCATTTAAGGAATGCACTGCATCCCTCACTCCCTTTCTGCTGGCAACTAAAAAGACCAAAGGAGCATTGTTTAGTTGACACCTCAACTTACAACAGTCCATTTAGTGACCGTTCAGAGTTACGACACCCCTGGAAAAAATTGACTTAGGACCGTGTTTCACAGTTACGGCCTTTCCGGCATCCCCGTAGTCACGTGATCAAAATTCAGAGGCTTGGCAACTGACTCGTCCTTATGACCATGGCAGTGTCCCGTGGCATCACGTGATCCCTTTTTGCGACCTTTTGCGACAAACCAAGATCTACTTAACAACCTGATCACTAACTTATCAACTCCAGGGATTTACTTAACAATGGGGTGGGGGGGCAGGAAGAGTCGTAAAACGGGGCAAAGCTCACTTAAACAAAAATGCCTCACTTCACGACAGAATCTTTGGGCCCCGTTGTAGTTGTAAGTCAGGGACTGCCTGTATGTGTGGCTCAGGGTTTAAAGCAGGGAGTCTTTGGTGCCCTCTGAGCTTGGTGGCTTTCTTGCAGACGTTTCATGACCCAACTAGGGAACGTCATCAGTGCTAGAGGGAGGAGGGGGAGGAGGGGGAGGGGGAGGGGGGGGGGGGGGGGGGGGGGGGGGAGGAGGAGGAGGAGGAGGAGGAGGAGGAGGAAAAGAACTGTGGGGTCCTTGGTGCTCTCTGAGCTTGGCTGTTTTCTTGCAGACATTTCATGACCCAACTAGGTAACATCATCAGTTCTAGATGTCTGTAAGAAAACATCTGCAAAACATCAGCCAGAAAACAACCAAGGATCCTTCTTAGACAGGAACATCTGGAGGGTTTGATCCAGCCTTTGGTTAGGGAATTGACCTTCAGCAATGGATTATGGATGTGACTTTAACTTACCCATAGAATAGAATAGAGCTGGAAGGGACTTTAGAGGTCTTCTAGTCCAGCCCCCTGCTCAAGCAGGAGAACCTATACCATTTCAGATAGTGTTGATTTGGGGCCACCTAGAAGGGTGGCTCTACAGGGAGTCCTCAAGTTACAACCACAATTGTTGTAACCCGAGACTTAACCTGTCTTCGTGGTTTCACCTGAACCATTCCTTAAAATTGTTCTCCTTGCCGATAAGATTAAAATCCGACGCTGTCTTCTCTTTCCAGAGAGCAATGCGGTGTCACCATAGCCAGATGCTCTGGTTCCGCTGTCTGTACGTGAGGTTCTCGCGCTACATGGTGATCAACTCACTTCGCTTCCTCTAGTGGGGGAAGAGAGATTTTGGATGAAGCAGAGACCCAGAGAGGAGAAAAGGAGGAAGACGGGACTCTCTAGGTGCCTGCCGAGCGGAAAAATCAAGCGGGACCGAGAAGAAGGGCCTTCTCCGTGGTGGCTCCTTCCCTGTGGAACATCATACCTGCAGAGATAAGATTGGAAATAAGATGTTATAGGTCCCTTCTCTTAAGGTGTCATGCCCCCATCGGAGTCTGAATCTGAGGAGGAAGACAAACAGCCATCAGGGAGCGGTGGAGGGCTTACAAGGGAGGAAAGGGCCCTGATTCCCTTCACAAGGCACACGTGGGGAGGGAGTTTAAAGGAGAACCAGTTGGGAGGGAGGTTTGTCGGGAACAAATGTTGAGTTTGTCTAATGTTGGCTGCTGTTAATCTGAGTTCCTGGCATCCTCCCACCTGGTTGGATTTACTGTCATGTTATTTCACTTCTGGAACTCCGTATCTTGCTCTGCCGGATTTATTACCTTATTTTGCCTTGTTTAGTTTTCAGTTTACAACGTTTGAACTAGAATATCGGCAGCCAAAGGCTGTTGCAGGTTCGGGGGAGAGTTTTTCTCTAGACCGGAAGGTAACTGGATCATTGGAGGCAAAGTTGGAGCTAATAAAGGGACCTCTACTTATTCTCTGGCTGTGTTGCCTTTGTGCCACGCCCCAGGTCATCACATAAGGAGGTCCATCTGGTGGGACCAAGAAGGGCCTTCTCGGAGGTAGCTCCTTCCCTGTGGCACATCATCTCTGTGGAAATAAGTTTAGCTCCCTCATCTTGATACTCTTTCACAAGACCCTGAAGATGTGTTTTTTTCCAGTGGACCTGGGGACCCCAGAGCCCATCAAATGGCACTTTTGACTAACTGCTGTCGCTGGGGAGATGTGTGATTGTGGCAGTGTACTTCCACACACATTTTGTCAAGTTCTTATGATGATAGAAGCACAAGGAATCATTACATGTACCTCAACTGTACCGTGGCGGCACAGTGGTTAGAATTGCAGCATTGCAGGCAAACTCAAGTTCGATCCTGACCTTCTGGCTCAAGATCGGCTCAGCCTTCGGTCCTTCCGAGGTCTGTAAAGTGAAGACCCAGATTGTTGGGGGCGAGATGCTGACTCTGTGAAACGCTTAGAGAGGGTTGTAAAAGCCCCGTGAAGCGGTATGTAAGTCTAAGGGCTAATGCTAATTCCTTCAGCTTTAGCGTGAAGAAACAGAACGTAGAATCGTAAGGCTGGAAGGGATCTCAAAGGTCATCTAGTCCAGTGATCGCCAACCGGTGGGCCACGAGAAAATTTTGGTGGGCCCCCGAGAAATCTCACCCCCAGAGCACCACCCCCAAAGCAATTAATCCAGGCTGCGCAGAAACTTAAGGCTGCGCCGCCCATGACCCACTCACTCCTTACCCAGCAAACTTGCCTGCTAAATTGCTATTTTTCCTTTTTCCAACCTTCATCTGTTCTGCTGTGCTGGGAAATTTAGATTAGCTAGGAAGCAGGAAATGGCTGGATTTCTTGCTTTCTAGCTAGTCTTTAGATCTTCGGCTCTGCTTTTAAGCACAGCTGAACCTCCCTTAGGACTGAAGGTCCTATTATTCAGTGCAGACTCACGGCAAGCAAATTGTATGTGACAAGACTGAGCTAGCCGATGGCAGATAGATAGATCCCTGAATGATTCTGTGAGCAATTCAATCTGCCTGCCTGCTTTGCCTGATTTTGGGTAAAAGTTGCTCTTTTTTTATAAAAAATATATATCAATATTTATATCAATATTTATATTTACATACGAGCCATGCCAGCCAGTCACGACCACCAAACCACACCCACAAATTAGGCCACATCCACAGAACCGGTTAGTGGTCCCTGGGATTTAAAATTATGAGTTTGGTGGTCCCTGAGGTCCAAAAGGTTGGCGATCCCTGATCTAATCCAACCCCCTACTTGAGCACAATACTGTATACAATTCCTGACAAATAGCTGTCCGGTCTCTTTTCTTGAAAGCCTGCAGCGATGGAGAACCCACGATTTCTGGATCCACTGGTTAATTGTCCTGTCTGGAAGTTTCTCCTTAATTCCAAGTTGCTTCTCTTCTGGATGAGTTTCCATCTTCTGTTTCTTGTTCTGCTTTCAGGTGCTTTGGACAATAAGTTGACCCCCCTCTTCTTTGGGGCAGCCCCTGAAATATTGGAGGATGCTATCATGTCACCCTTAGTCTTTCTCTTTTGTTAGGCTAAACTTACCTAGTTGCCTTTACTGTTCATCACACAGTTTAGCCTCCAGACCCCTGATCATCTTTAACAGAATACAGAATTGGAAGGGACCTGTGAGGTCTTCCAGTCCAACCCCCCGCTCAAACAGGAAACCTCCTACCATTTCAGACAAATGGTGGTCCAGTCTCATCTTAAAAACTTCCCGTGTTGGAATACCCACATACTTCTTCCTTGCTCTTCTCTGCACACTTTGTGTATCGTTGCCTGTAATCTTACACAACTACACTGTGTATTTCGCACGAGGATGGGGGAACATTACATTCCCCCTTCCCTTCGAAATGAATCCAAATAAAAAGGACAAACGTTTTTAAAAATATGTGGGTTTTTTTATTTATTTTTTTATTTTTATTTTTTCAAAACAAGAATTTCCTCAAAAGTGAGAAGTGTCGTTTGGGACAAAGCAACAGCATTCATACCTAAAACGCTGAACCTGAAAACTGAAATAAAGACACTTTAGGCATTCACACAATACACAAAAGAAATTCCCCATCCCGTAAGACAAACTTAAGTTTCTTAACGCCGGACAGCTCCGGCCACTCGGTTAGCCGTAGGTCAAATTAAGACTGTCATAAAAAGGGGTCCCCAAGAGAAATTATTCCAAGCACCATGATGGATCAGCGGCTCCTTCAAATTAAAAAAAAAAATTTCTTAAGAATCTATTTTTCTTTTAAAAATGGAGATCTTCTCCAAATCTTCAGGCTGCCTTAACTCAGCAAGGATCTCGGTTAGATGGAATCTCCTGCTTCCATTACAGGACATCGCCTTGCCAAAAAATGCAGGTAATTTACAGATTAACAGAATTGGAAGGGGTCTTGTAGGTCATCTAGTCCAACCCTCCACCCATGCAGGAGATCCCACACCATTTCTGACCCAGGGCAGTCCAGTCTCTTCTTGAAAGCCTCCAGTGATGAAGCTTCCACAACTTCTGTTCAATTGGTTGATTGCTTAGATATTAGAGATTTACAGATTAACAGAGTTGGATCTTGTAGGTCATCTAGTCCAACCCCCCACCCAAGCAAGAGACCCCACACCATTTCTGACAAAAAGCAGTCCAGTCTCTTCTTGAAAGCTTCCAGTGATGAAGCTCCCACAACTTCTGAATAACAATAACAGAATAACAAAGTTGGAAGGGACCTTGTAGGTCATCTAGTCTAACCCCCCCGCCCGAGCAGGAGACGCTACACCATTTTTGACAAATGGCAGTCCAGTCTCTTCTTGAAAGCCTCCAGTGATGAAGCTCCCACAAGAAGACATTTCGCTTCTCATTCCAAGGAGCTTCTTTGGCTCTGACTGGATGGTGGGAGCAATGATTTCAATGCTGTTGTAACTCCCAATGTCACTAAACAAAAGGTTATAAGTCAAGGATGATCCGTAGGGCACCCTCCCCCTTGGAAATTCCTCTCTGGATCTTTGCACCGTAGCAAACATGATGGTGTAGCTTTGGGCCTTCCCAATGTTTACATCTTTTTTTTAAACGCTCTTTTCCCCCCCCAAGGTAAGACAAAATATATGCCAGGTCCCTGTCAGAATCTGAATCCAAGGAGGAAGCAGAGCAGTTGATAGGGAGGGTGGCTCCGTTGGCTGTGGAGGAAACTGGGGAAGGGCAAACTCCGGCTGGGCAGATCAGGGAAGAGGTAGAACAAGGGAGAGGGAGTTCAGAGGCCTACCCCCTCTTCATCCTAGGGCACGCAGGGAGGAACGGAGAAGGGAGCAACATGAGTTGCATGGCTTGCGGGGGAGAAAAGGGCCCTGATTCCCTTCATTAGCTGCAGCTGGGAACACGGTGTATAAAAAAAGGGAAGCTGCGCGCAGCAAGTTGTTGGGAGCAAATGTGAATTTATCTTGTATCGTTGTGGCTTATCTGGGTTCCTGGCATCTTCCCAACTGTGTGAGTTTTGCCGTGCTTTCAAGTCAGAAAGTCTTTCTCCTGCCCTGTCAAGCTAATTACTTCAGTTTGGTTTGTTTGGATTTTTAGTTATAGTTTGTATGTACCTGGTTTAGGACTGAATTTTCTACAGTCACAGGTTGTTCCTGGGAGAGTTTATCTCGAAGGTAACCTGGACATTGGGGGCAAAACTGGAGATAATAAAAGAGACTCTTATTGCTTATTTGACTGTGTTGCCTTTGTGCCACGCCCCTTTTGGGTCATCACAACATACACCTAATTTTTGTATGTGTAGGACTGAGATTGTCCCTGTTTTTATGCCGCTATTCTATCCGATTGGGGGAAAATAGGCAGTAGAGAGATTATTTCACACATGCACACATAAAAAAAATGGCACCCTTTGGTTTCCTAAATGAAACCCGAATTAAAAGAAGGGCTCCTTCCTGGTGTTCCAGAACCAGCAAAGTCACGGTTTCGACATATTCCTGATGGTGGGGTGGCCCTTGACGGCTTTCTCCCATTCTTTCCCGTTGATGGGCTCCACTGTGATCTTGGTGATGGTCCCCTCATCCAGGCAGTGGGGTGCGATTCCTATGGGGGCGGGGGAAAAGAGAGAGAGAGCTGTAGCAGAAAAACAGAATTGGGACCTTGGAGGTCTTCTAGTCCAACCCCTTGCTCAAGCAGGAAACCCTATACCGGAGATTGGCCAATCTCTTCCTTAAACGCCTTGTCGTTTTTATGCCTGTTTTAGAGTTGCCACACCTCCAGGGTTGGAGCATTCACAACTTCTGGTGGCGAGCAGTTCCGCTGGTTAATTGTTCTGTCAGGAAATTCCTCCTTAGTTCCAGGTTGTTTCTCTCCTTGATTAAGTTTCC